TCAAAGAAAGAAAAATTTCACCGGTTTTAGTTTTTTTTTAAGATTTTGCGTGATTTCTCAAAATCTACTATATCAAATTTAATGAACTTTTTTTTTATTTCAAATCTATAACATTAAGAAATTTAAAATAAAAAATCTTACTGAATTAATTCAAGTAGTTATTATAAATCATTGTTAGATTTAAAAAACTTTCAATAGGATATCTGACGTAAATGTTATACAAACATGCATGATGATCAACAAACCGGGCACAGATGATTTAATTTCTTCGTTCAATCAAATTTATTTGAACACAAGTATCTTTGAGTCAATATATTTAAATATGCTTTTAATTTCTAATTTTATATTATAAGTAATAATTTATTCGATATATATGAAAATTATTTATTAATTAATCCTATCTAAATTAGCTATTTGAGTTCATGAAATTTTACCACTACCAAATCCCTTGTTTAGCTTCATTTTTATTAATCAGATTAATTTATTCGTTTTTTTTAAGCCGTTCACACATAGAATTTATTTGTCATGCTTAATTGTTTAACCTTGTTCAGCTAGCTATGGTATCTAGCCATATAGCTATCTTTTACTATAAGATTTGTGAGAAAAATTTACCATAAATTTAAAATTATAGTTTAGATGAACATTTTTAATTAATATTCAAGCTTTAATTATCTTAACTATTTTTGATAACCTTCATTATTTAATGCATTCACACCCTTACTTTGCCATATATATTTATCCAATAATATACAAGATTTGTAAAAAATATGCATGCTTACGTGTTTGTATTATATGATAATCGTCATGTGCTCCCTACGCATTAGCCTAGTAATAGTTAAATAATTTGATTCATATTGAACATCTATCATGCATTGTGTCATAAATTTAAGGTAGTGTAAAAAGTTGTACTAATGTTCGTTTATTTCCCTTTTGAAAAAAAAAAATAACAAAACAAAACAAAAAATGTCAGAAAGTATAGTAACAAAGAAGACATAACCCATGCTACAAAAAAATCTTTGCTATTATAAAGAAAACTATAACTAATTCCTCATTCAGATTCAGTAGATCTTACAGATATAAGGGCTCCCAAGAGGGTATTTACATGTACATGAGTGCCACCAAGGGTAAAAACTGATGATGGATTTTTCCTTAATATGGTGCTGGAAGCCTATACTAGACAATAAAATAGTATAACTTTAAAATGCATCAGCTTTTTATAGAGACAATATTTTTAAAAGCTATTTGGCAAATTTGTAAAGCTTATTATAGTGAACAAAGTTACTAGTCAGATTTTCAAAATATTGTCTTATAAAAAGTTATAATACTTTAAAGAAAATTAAAATTGAAACACATAGTAATTACATATAAAAGAATAGTAATCTTTAAAATGCATCAACTTTTTATACAGAAGGTTTTCAAAAAAAATATTTGGCAAATTTATAGAACTAATATTCCTTTACAAAGTTACTGGTCAGTTTTTTAAAAAACCTCTTGTACAAAAAATTATAGTGATTTAAAAATTGAAACATGTTGAGTATATGCTTCCAGCACCATAGCATTTATACACATGTAAAACCTTCTCAACAGACCTTACGCGACATAAAGGCTCCTAGATACTTACAATCTCACCACAAAGCATTATATTGCAAGTAAAAGAATATTTTGTGCAGTATTTTTGCTTCCCTATAAGTAAAAAATTACTTACTTCAAATACTTTTAACAAGTTTTCTTAGGTGCAATTCTAATTCTGAAGCTTCATTGCTCGAACGAATCTTAGTCTTTCTCTTAGTGCTTGATAAAAATATAAAGCACAACAGCTGGACATAATGATATTTTTTAAATTTTGATCATGAACTTATACAGTATACTTAATATAAAAATACTTGTGAGAAGGTTCGTGTTTTCGTGTTGTGAATTCTGTTATGAGAAGATGTGATTTTTGTGCAACAGCAATAAAAACTTAATAAAATTTATAAGTGACCTGGTAACCCGGCTTTTAATTTTTTATTTTCATAAAATTTTTTGTATAAAAGCAAATTTTTTATAAAAAAACTCAGGAATAATTTTGACATCATTTGGTCCTGGTACGTAGATAAGTTTTATCAGTGTCTACATTTCATGAATTTAGAATTCTGTGATATTTCCGCGCTACTTTTTTGGAATTTTGTGGTATTCTGTGGTGATTAAAGGTGATTAACTGTTTTTAAGGATGTTTTCTGTGATCGTCGGCCCTGCCCTAGTGCACCAATCAAATTTCAAGATCAGATGTAACGTAAACTCCCTCGGAGCAATTTTTATAGCCAAAATTCTCGTGATCTAGTGAATGGATCTGCATAATTTTGGTACCATTCGAATCGACTTGTCAAAATGGTACCAAAATTATACAGATCCAATCACTAGATCACGAGAATTTTGGCTATAAAAAATGCTCCGAGGGGGTGCTTATTTTCGGAGGAATACGGTATTAAAAATGCTCCTTCGTGAAAATTTACTAATAGAAACTCCATCGTCTTAACCCTAACGTTTTATTCTCAGTAAAAATTACAGGATGAGGACAATTTTTGTGGGTGCACTACCTAAGTCAGATGAGTAACGTTAATCCACGTTTTTTAATCTACTGTTGCATGTTTAACGGTCTTTCTACTGGAGTAGCTGATTTAGCTAGTCCCTTGAGTTACAACGGTTTTCTTCACGTTTTCCGTAATGGTATTGTTTTTTGAACAATGAAGAGTTGTTGATGTGAATTTGAATTTTATGTTTCTTTCATGGAAGTTCTGTTTATTTTTGCCTTAAGGTTTAGTATCGACATATGAAGGGGTGTCAGTAGAAACTTTTAGTAAGTTTTTTTAAAACTTCAAATTAAAATATCTCAACAACTATTAAACCAAACTTAATAAATTTTTTTTTTATTTTAATTCTATAACTAAATAGCATTAAAATAAATTTTTTTTTATCAAGTTAGGTTTAATAGTTATTGAGATATTTTAACTTAAAGTCTAAAAAAAATTTACTTAGAAACAATTTGCCTGGTTTCTACTGACACCCCCATATATATTATCATTATTCTATGCGTCAGTCTTAAGATCACTTCTGTATCTAATTCGAATTACAGAGTTATTATCTACATATATGGTGCACAAAATCCACGAATGCTTTCGGATGAATTGCAATCTTTTTTTTTAGTACTGTAGTACACGGGTCCTCCGCGCGGCGAAATTATAGTATATCTTTTTCGCGAGATCCACCAGTGTCGAAATTAATTGCGATCGTCATAAACTCATTTTGCTAATAATTTCCCTAAAATTTCTAATAATGAATATCGACAAACCCCTCCGAAAATTTTAATCCCTAAAATTCTTTTTGTCCGTCGATTTCGACTGTTTTTGCGATCAATGTTATAGTTGTCGTATTTCGTGTAGGAGTGAAAGTTGTAGGGTTAAATGTCCTCCTCACACTAGAAAATGTTCTAAATATATCAGTCACAATTATTCGGCTAGACATAGAATTAATCGAAAGTATTATACTAGTCGGAAATCTCGTTAAAAATTCACTCTATTTCTTTTGAACCCCTAATAAATAAATCATCTTATTCTGTCATTGATAAGAGTTTGCCAGAAATCTGGAATAATGCTTCAAAACAACTTTCGTAAATTCTGATTGATTTCCTCATGAGTTTCTTATTTTATTAAGACCTGTTAATTTTTTCGAAATAAATTGTTCGGTTTTTTATTTTTATATAACCATGGTTAGCTCAGCTTATCGTTATTATTTCTACGAATTATCAACATAAAAAAAAATGCACATAATGCTATAGAAGTAGAACATTAATCTAATATTGAATTTACCTTAAGTAAACCAAATTTTATTATACTTTATATACTATATATACGTATTTATCGAACACTTATTTTTTTCTCTACTATCGATGTTATGTGTTAAATTTTTTACATTAGAAAAAAATGATTTTTTTTTATTTATGTTTATTTATTATTACGTTTTCAAATATACTCTCTAATTGCTTTTCTCTTAATTGACTGTTTTCATATTATTTAGAAAATTCATTTATTCTTTTTGCATCCCTTAGTTGATCTTCTAGCCTTGCGTTCTCCTTCAATCTTTCATTCTTCTCCGCTTTCTTTCTTAACTTTCTCTCTTTGTTAAATATCTGCAATTGATTTCTATTAATAATATTTGTAATTATTATTATTATTATTATTATAATATACACAATACCAATATATATAATAATGTAATATTTGCAATATATAATTGTACAATATATGATGTAATTAAATTTTAAATTATGTATTAACTTAGAGGTATGACTACTAAGTGGCTTTGCGATCATATGATTTGCAATTTTTTTTGCATCTTGCATATTTGCATCTGACTTCTGATCTTGCGACTCTGAGGTCTTACACCTTTTTGTAGAAAAGGTTTTCGCAAAGGTCGTTTGAAAAGATGCAAAGACTGCGACTTTGCAGCAGGCATCCCTAGGGCTCAATTGACTTTATTGGTTAACCGGCTTCTATTACGTATAATAAATATGCAAGCCGGGTCAAGCTGTTAGTGTCTCTAGTCACTTCTTCATATTAAAATTTAATTTTCCTTTATATTATAAAATAATGCCTTTATCGGTTATGAAGTATTCGATATAGATCAAGAATGTTTCAGATCATTAATAATCAAATTAGCTGCGAGATGTCATCACGCAACAGAAATTTTACTGTATCTTATTATATATTATATACAGCCATCCTTCAAAATTGATGAAAATAGGATCAGTTTTATTAATAATAATATTATAAATCATAAGGCCATCTATTGTGTATGATTTATTTTCAGAATTACGAAATGGTGATTTGATTATCATGAATTACTAATAATCAGTGTTGGTAACCTTATTGTTATACGCAATTTGAATCGGAACATTCACTTGCCCAACGTTGACTATAATGGGTTTAGTAAAAATATATTTTATTTAAAAAGCCACATAAGTTATGTTGTACTGTTAAAAACAATCAATCATTAATACATAAATGGTATTTGATAGTTGTAACTAACAAAATAATAAAAAATATTGTGATTTACTTTAAGGCGATAACACTGCAATAACTATATAATATTTTATCATTATTAATTTTCCGATCAGTGCGCAAAGTTGCGCAGCTTTATTTTTCAGCGCCCTTTTTAATTTAGAACTCATAGAGAACTTTGTTACAATACCTATTTATGTACGGTATTGTATATTATTTAACAAAATTTAAATTGCCGTATAAACATCTCTTCGTGATTTGCACTATTCTTGATATTTTATTAACAGGTTTTTCATATAATTAACTACCTCAATAGAACATATCATGAATAAGAATCTTCCAGAAAGTGTTATACGTTTCTGTGAAGATACAACGTGTGAAATCTTGATATGCATTCACATCCTTGCTTCGCCATATGCATTTTTCCAATACTGTAAGGAGCAAGATTTAGCGTTTAATTTGCCGTATAACCATACATTTCCCGTTCCTGGTATAGTTAATATAACTTATTCGCTCCTAATTGAAGTCCTTGGAGAGGTGGACTGATTTCAACAGTGGATATCTACGTTCGTTTATAGCTAGAATTTGCTTTTACGGCGATTTTTTTGTTAGTGAAATGCTACGTTCCCAAAAAGTACTTTAAGGTGTATAAATAAGTTACACGGTCAATTGATTTACATCAGCCAATCAGATGAAAGTCGTCCTACTGATTCTTTTCTAAATGTTGATCGAACCCTTACCCGTTCTAGTTCTACCATAACAACCTTTTCAACTTCTTCTGATATGTCAACAACTCGGCTTCAGTTGCGCAAAAAGGACCTTAATTCAGCCAGAGATCGTTTACTTGCTTTTCAACAAGAGGCAGGGGAGTTTGCTAAGCCAATTATTCTCGCTAAAAATGTGTCTCTTGAAACTTACACTAAATATTGTGAAGCTGAATGAAAGCTCCCTGTCAAAATTCGCATGATCGATGGAAACGTTATAGCTTATGAAGTACCACTATCGGATCATGGTGCGGTAGTAATCAAGTTTGCATTCTTGATACATGAATGGGATGATCAATTGAATCAAATAGTTGAAGAAGATCTTGTCTTGGAGGATACAAGTCACTGTACAGCTGATCTTACTATTAAGCCAAGGGATCTTCCTCGACCTCGTCCTGGTCACGAATCTAACTCGAACGGGGGACCATATCAAACATTGGTTTTTGAAGTTGGTACTACCGAAGCTGTCTCCAGCTTACATGATCTTTCAGCAAGGTATTTTTCACCACAAACAACTATTCAAATTTACATTGCTATCAAGCTATATCCTATTCGCCAGGATAATACAAGAGCAATGTTTGCAATGCGTTATCTACGTACAAATCAACATCCGACAGTACTAGATGTTGTAATTTCTTTTGGCACTGCACCTCTCCACCAAAGTGTAATAGGTTATCTTTTGAATGATATGAGTGTTCCAGATGCTAATATTACTGGCGTAGGAAGGTCTGATGATGCAATTGCTTGCAATGGCCCTAGCATTCCAGATTATCAATTGAATATTCCTGCTGCTGAACTTTACAATGGTTCTCTTAATGGCATTCCTCCCAATGCAGTTGATGGATTCGATTTGGATTTATGGGAAATACAAAGGAAAGCATTGAATCCTCATTATTATTAGTTGCCGGATTATTATAGTGGTGTATATATTCAAGCCAATGGAATAATAAAATCAGAAATTTACTTAGATGTTAGTGTGTCACCACTATAGCTATAAATACATGTATAAGACTTAACAATATATATGACTACAAAGAATAATAAAAATTCAAGAATCTTATTTGCTTAATGATTACAAAAAAAGTGATGTCAATGTAGTTTACTATTTGCTATTCATATTATAATGAAGTATTTAATGCTCCAATTCTCGATGTTCTGGAATAACTATGTATGAGTTTTCGCAATAACTAACATGTCTTAAGACAACCCAGTTTTCTTACACAATTCTTTCCTTAGTCGATCCCACGTTTGCTAATTGTCAGATTTTATGAAAAAACTTAATATATTTGTGTTGCCTTTGTATGTATTTTTATTCAAAACTATATTCTGGATAATGAATATCAAGTTCTAATCCTGCAAGAGATTCTCGCGGAAATCAGGTTGATGTATCTAAGATGGTGGTCAAAACGTCATCGTTTTTCTAGTAATACTGTAATATTCATGTATGAAACCGGCATAATTTTAGATCCATCGTATTATTTCTCCATTAGTTAGTTCAATACAGCGAGTAATAACACATTCCTAAACCACGATGTACATGACCTATCAAAATTTCAGAAACATTAACATTTTCTGATTAGTCTAGGATGAGTTCGATAATGAATGCTTTCATAATATTTGTTAAATTATGTAGTGTATAATTTTATTATGATTTCAAATTTATACGCGAGTTTTAAAAAATTAATATAACTTCAACGACCATGGAGCAAAATACAAAAACTCTTAAATTGTCTCAACTTCAAGGTATTTCTTTGATCGATTATAAACTTGCTATTTCAGACGACTTCACAACTCCTTGCGGATAAATCTGCTTGCAAATTATTATTTCTAAATGGTTATACAAACCAACGAAAAAAATTGGATAACATAAAATCAACTTCAGTAATATAACTCGAATTAAAGTTTTGGGGTCGGATGTTCGATTGGCATTGTTATAATAAATTGTAGCACTCCTAGTGTCGTAATGACGACCAAACCCCTATGTATTATGTTCGCGGTATGTTTGCCTTAGAAGACTTAGATTTCGATCATGAACTTGGTTCACGATGTCACGTGAGCATGTGATGTCTCGTGACAGCCTGGATAAAAAGTGCATATCGGTTAGTGTTGCGGGCGAAATCCATTTCCAAAATCCGAAAGGCGAAACCGAAATGCTCCCAAAGGCGAAATAAATCCGAAATTTACGAAATGGGCGAAACTTCCGAAACCTGGCGAAACCTCCGAAACCCGGCGAAACCGAAATGGCGAAATCTCCGAAACATTTTCGATTGGCACAACTCTTCTTTTTGATAGACGTTTTGAATTTTTTAAACCTTTGAGTGAAGTAATCTCGACACTCACCAAGTCAAATTTGATAAACTTTTTTTGTTTAAAAAAAAGTTCTTCGAATTTGGCTTGGTGGGTGTCGAGATATCTTCACTCAAAGTTTAAAAAAAGTTTGGCTTTTT